GTCCAAATAAACATGGTGCAAATCCTCAGTAAAAAATAGATATAAATATTTACTATACTATAAATAGTTACATAACGAAATTAGATTCAATATGGAACATCCTTAGGTTTTATGTGCCAGCATGGATATGGTTGTCTGTGGATATGGATTTGGATATGGTTGTCTGCAATGCAGACAAACAGCTGCACCTTCATTTGCGTCTTTTGAAAACAGCAAGAGCAGCAGTTCGTCTTTGCTGTGTCACTGTTTTGTCATGTTTCTGTGCTGCTGTGCATGCAAAAGTACTTAGTATGAGAATTATTTCATGCAAAACTTTTTTTTTGCGTTTTATTTAGCCGCGCATAAATGTATGCCTATCTCTCATTCCGTGTTGTTCAAAAAGCTCGTTTTTGGTCCACAAACAAAAGCGAAACCTATGCTTATTGGTTGTGATATAGCGAGTTTGAACCAATCTGGGCATGGAGGAGGGACAATGCATCAATGTATCATGTCTGGTTTGTCCGGAGACACAGTGACGAGCGTTTCTTTGTCAAATCAGCGTTGTCAAATTTTGATGACGTAACCGCACTGATTCCGGAGCCTCTGAAAGAGGCAATCCGTTTGTGTTATGTGATACAGCACTGGAAAGCTGAGATTCTCTTCTTTATGCCAATTGTATGAATTGTATGAATCAAATCAGCGGATCAAAAGTTATTAAACATTTAAGAGCAATACTTATTTTTAGCCGCGGGCGGCTGTCTCGGTCTTTAAGGGTTAAAACCGTTGATATGCAATTGTTCAAGGTATGATAATCGTGCACGTTCAAATCGTGGTAGACCGTCATACCGGTATATTGTTACAACCCTACCTGGGAGATAAGATCCTCGAGCCCGGGGCTCCCTCCCATTTGCAAGGTGAGAGGGGAGTTTGAGCTCAGGTAGATCTCGAGAACTCCCCTGCTGTAGTTGCTAATGAACAGATAGTGATTACTACTTACTAGGAGCATGTCTATGGTGCCAATTTAGATTAGTCAAATAAGTTAAGTTGCATGTATTTGGATTGTGGGAGGAATCCGGGGGAAACCTACGTGAGCACGGGGAGAAGGTGTAAACTCTGCACAGAAACGTCAACTGGCTTGGTAAGGGCTAGAACCAGAGATGTTCTTGCTGTGAGGCAACAGTGCTAACCACTGGGTCACCGTGCCACCCATCTAGGAAAGGAGGAGGAGTAGGGTGGAATGGGGGATTCTTCAATTATGGAACTGGATGGAGTTCATCAGTTCCATTATGGAGTTATATGGAACTGAGGGTATTTATAGTCGCTTAGGAATTGTCTGTTTGCCGCTTACTGTATAAGCAGGCGGGTCTGTGTGTCTGTCTGAATGATTGAGTGTGTGTATGAGCGTTTAGAAGGGTGCGTGTGTGCATGCGAGAACGTGTGTGTGTCTGTGTGTGTGAACTCTGACACATGACACATGCAGCTGTTGTCACATGTGTTGTTCTGTGATAAATGAAACTGAAGCACAGATTCAACCGTCGCCCTCAGATCACTGCGCAAACACACGTGCATGAATTCACACACACACACACACACACACACACACACACACACTTTATTTACTATTATTCTGGTGTGTATTGTTTTTTCATTCATTTTCTTGTCGGCTTAGTCCCTTTATTAATCTGGGTCGCCACAGTGGAATGAACCGCCAACTTATCCAGCAAATGATTTACGCAGTGGATGCCCTTCCAGCCACAACCCAACACTGGGAAGCACCCATAGATTCTCATTCAAACACACACACACACACACACACACACACACACACACTACGGCCAATTTAGCTTATTCACTTCCCCTATACCGCATGTGTTTGGACTGTGGGGGAAACCGGAGCACTTGGATGAAACCCACGCCAACACGGGGAGAACATGCAAACTCCACACAGAAATGCCTTGTCCAACAGGAGCTCGAACCAGCAACCTAGCGACTTTATGCTGTGAGGCGATTGTGCCACCCATTGAGCCACCGTGACACTGTGTTTTGTCTGTTCATGGTATATTTATGTGAACATTTTATCAAAGCCAATCTAAAGTGATCAGCGTGTCTGTAATGGGGTTGTGTGCAGATGTTCATTAGGTGAGTGTGTTGATAAGGTCAGCGAGGACTCATCTCTGTTTATCAGATATAAATATGACCAGCAGACGTGAGTTATGATGGTCATCTGAGATTGATTCTGCTCATCCGTCTCGTCTGACCTTTTTCATTTACGCTCAGTCCTGTCGAGCTGCTCTTCAGCTGTATTTATCAGTTGATATGAGAAATGTTTCACTTTATTAGTTATACGATGATTTTGACATTGAAAACTTCTAATTATAGAAGAAACTTTAAAAATTAACCATGATTAATCGCATCCAAAATAAAAGTTTGTTAAACATTACTTGGGAAATATTTGGAAAAAGAATTATAATTTCATTGCAGGACTAATAACTTTGCCATTAAACAAATATACATTTTACAGGGATTACAGGCTTGTGATTGCATTCTAATAGACTCTCACACTCAATGTCTTTGTTTTCATGAATCATCAGTTTTGAATGAATCATCTGATTAAATGATTCAGTGATCCATTCATAAGGACTCTCGCTGGCTTTGTTTCATGAATCATCTGTTTTGAACAAATCATTTAAATGAATGATTCAGAGATCCAATAATGAGAACGGTCAATGGCTTTGATTCATGAATCATATGATTTGAACAAATCATTTGAATGAATGATTCTGTGGTCCATTTATAAGGACAGTCATTTATTTTTTTCATGAATCATTTGTTTTGAACAAATCGTTTGAATCAATTTTTTTAATGAATCATTTGAACAAATAATTTAGTCATCCAGTCATAAGGATAGTAATTTGCTTATTTTCATAAATCATCAGTTTTGAATGACTTATTTAATTGAATGATTCAGTAGTTCATTCAAAAGGACAGTCACTGACTTTGTTTTATGAATCGTCTGATTTGAACATATCGTTTGAATCAATTTTTTATTGATCCATTCATAAGGGTAGTCACTTCCTTTGTTTCATAAATCAGCAGTTTTGAAGGAATCATTTGAATGAACGATTTAGTGAACCATCCATAAGGATAATAACTTGCTTAGTTTTCATGAATGATCAGCTTTGCATGAATCATTTGATTAAATCAATGATTCAGTGATCTGTTCATAAGAACAGTCACTGGCTTTGAGTCATGACTCATCTGATATGAACAAATCATTTGAATGAAGGATTTAGAAATCCATTCATGAGGACAGTCATTTTCTTTTTTTCATGAATCATCTGATTTGAACAAATCATTTGAATTATTTTTTTTTTAATTGATTCATTCATAAGGACCCTCACTGGCTTTGTTTTATGAATCATTTGTTTTCAATGAAATATTTGAATCTTTTTTTTTATTCAAATGAATCATCTGAACAAATAATTTAGTCATAAATTCATAGGGATAGTAACTTGCTAAGTTTTTATGAATAATCATTTTTTAATGAATCATTTGTTTAAATGATTCAGAGATCCTATCATAAATACATTTACTTGCTTTGTTTCACGAATCAACTGTTTTGAACGAATCATTTAAATTGATTTTTTATTGATTCATTTATAAGGACACTCACTGGCTTTGTTTCATGAAACATCAGCTTTGCATGAATCATTTGATTAAGTCAATGATTCAGTGATCCATTCATAAGCACAGACCATGGCTTTGAGTCATGACTCATCTGATATGAACAAATCATTTGAATGAAGGATTTAGAAACCCATTTATAAGGACAGTCATTTTCTTTGTTTCATGAATCATCTGATTTGAACGAATCATTTGAATTATTTTTTTAATTGATTCATTTATATGGACACTCACTGGCTTTGTTTAATGAATCATTTGTTTTGAACAAAATATTTTAATCTTTTTTTATTCGAATGAATCATCTGAACAAATAATTTAGTCATCCGTTCATAGGGATAGTAACTTGCTTAGTTTTATGAATCATACTTTTTTAATGAATCATTTGTTTAAGTGATTCAGAGATCCATTCATAAATACATTCACGTGCTTTGTTTCACGAATCAACTGTTTTGAACGAATCATTTATTTGATTTTTTATTGATTTATTTTTAAGAACACTCACTGGCTTTGTTTCATGAAACATCAGCTTTGCATAAATCATTTGATTAAATCAATGATTCAGTGATCCATTCATAAGCACAGACACTGGCTTTGAGTCATGACTCATCTGATACGAACAAATCATTTGAATGAAGGATTTAGAAACCCATTTATAAGGACAGTCATTTTCTTTGTTTAATGAATCATCTGATTTGAACAAATCATTTGAATTATTTTTTTTTTTAATTGATTCATTTATATGGACACTCACTGGCTTTGTTTAATAAATCATTTGTTTTAAACAAAATATTTTTATCTTTTTTTTTATTCGAATGAATCATCTGAACAAATAATTTAATCATCCGTTCATAGGGATAGTAACTTGCTTAGTTTTCATGAATCATCATTTTTTTTAATGAATCATTTGTTTATATTATTCAGAGAACCATTCATAAATACAGACACTTGCTTTGTTTCACGAATCAACTGTTTTGAACAAATCATTTGAATTGATTTTTTATTGATTAATTTATAAGGACACTCACTGGCTTTGTTTCATGAATCATCATTTTAATGAATCATTTGATTGAATGATTCAGTGATCCATTCATAAGAACAGTCACTTGCTTTCTTTCATGAATCATCTGATTTGAATGAATCATTTAAATGAATGATTCAGTGATACATTCATAAAAACAGTAACTTGCTTTATTATTGTAAATTATATTAAATCAATCCTTCAATTTGGGGAGATACATCTTTTCATGCCTTGCCTTTCCTAGAAAAGAATGAATCCGAGTCATATGCATGAACAGGATCACTAATATCTGGATGTGTGTCTTTGTTCTGTGGTCCAGCCACCATCACCAGCTCCTCTGAGAATGAGGAGCGCAGCGGCTCCAGCCTGGAGTGGAGTAAAGAGGGCAGTATAAGGAGCTGCGGTCAGCATGTTCTGGGACAGACGGCCACGCGGACAGACACATGCTCTCCGGTGGCCGAGGAGGAACCATCAGCGTCTGGGACAGGCTTACGGATCGTCCCCAACACCAAGAAGAACTCAGAAGGACCCGTCCAGTATACCACACAGAACCCGTCCAGCCTGATGATGCCTCGACCAAACTCAGTGGCAGGTAAGAGCTCTGTGATTCTTGAGCTGATGACTGATGCGTGACTGCTGGAATGAAGCAGAGGCTCATGGGAAGATGTTGCCATCAGGTCAAAAGTGTGTGTGTGTGTGTGTCTGTGTGTGGTGTAGATTGTGAGAGCTCATTATCAGGACACACATTCTTTCTGCTGTTGCTCTGTGAGGAAGCAGAAACATTGGGCAGCTGTTTTGAGTGAGAGTGTGTGTGTGTGTGTGCATTGGTTTTGGTGGTTTATAAGGACTGTTTTTTTATATAATTATATTGGTATGACCTAATTGTACTCTATTAAGGTGCTTTATAAGGACATGCTGGGTGTCCTTGTAATTCAAAACACTTCATAATCATAATTTCCCACAGGTTTCATGTGAGGCTTCTGTTTAGAGGTAGGGATATAATAAACAGTGGCTGTTAGGGTATAAAAACATCATGTCTGTGGATGGAGAGTCAGCAGAGTGTAAATGTGAGTGTGTGTGTGTGTGTGTGTGTGTGTGTGTGCGCTCTGTCTTTAGCATCAGTTCCACATTCCTCAGGCTGGTCTGACTGATCACGTGATGTTTCCCGCTCCTCTGTCTGCTTGGTGAATCTTGCAGAAGCATGTTGTATTTCTCACTCAAATCAACAGAAACAACTCCAATTAAATATATATTGTGACTATATATGAAGATTTATCTCATCATAATACAGGGTTTCTTAAAAAGTCTAAAATTTAAAAATCAAAATTGCAGGCCTTAAAAAGTCAACCCAGGCTCATTGTGGAAACGTAGTCCCGCGGACGTTTCTGGAGACCACGGAATACGTCCCGGCGGGTACGTACGGCTGCAGTTTTTGTTTTCGCGAATCTGCGCTTTTTCGCACTTCAGACGCCTCTCGCGGGCGCGAACCTGTTCTCGCGTGAACCTGCCGGAGGCCGCTGTCCGACTGACCAGATGATTGACTGCGCGACCGGCCAATCGGCCGACTCGCCCTCCTCCTTCCCTGAACCCAACTGATTTTACCGATCGACCCGCCCGCTCGCTTCCCTAAACCCGAGCAACAGTTCACAAAAGCCGTCCAAAAAAATAAAAGCCCTGATTTTTATTATTCCACCGCGTTTTCGGATTTCGCCGTGTTCTCACCCTGTCACGAAACTCGTTTACTTAATTTTTGGGATTCTGTTTTTGTATTACCTGATTGCTGGAACTGCTCTTCCCCGGACTCGAAACCGGTCGCCGGGTTGACCCCTCTCCGCATCTCAAGCCTGTCGACGTACACGCTGAGCTGAGTGGACAAACGGGTTGCAGCGGGGAAGCCCTCCACAAGGAGATAATCGGTCGGCCGGCAGGCAAGCGCGAAAGGAAACAGCGTCACACCGCCCCGCAACGTTCGCTTGAAAAAAAATAAACGCGGCCGTACGTACCCCCCGGGACGTATTTCACTCTCTCCAGAAAAGTCCGCGGGACTATGTTTTCAGAATGAGCTTGGGTTGTAAAAAGTCTTAAATTCGCTGTTCTAGGTCTTAAATATTTTGCACAGGTCTTATTTTTCCGATGTCCATGTAACACTACATCTAATGCTCATTTTAGATGTTTTCGTGATGTTGTAGTTCTTTATTTCACTAGTCCAATTGTAATTTGCAGTATTAAAACTACAAATGAGACCAGCATGCTCATGCCTCAGTGCGCGCGGCGAATGTGACGTCATCGTTGTGTTTGCGGAGGTTTGCTTTGGGTGCCCGCGTCAGGATTTTGACTGCCGGAGCTCACGGAATGTCTTAAGCCTTGAGTGAACAGTTCGCGCGGCGCTGCTTTGATTTGAGTTGAATAAATATATATATATGCATTACGATAATATCTTTGTGCATATGTATAAGGTTATTCAGTACCAAAGCAAATTTTGGAACTTATCTAGCTAAAAATTAACTGACAATCACAGTCCAAAAAGTGAATGTAAACATTACTTTGATTAAGCTTGAACTTAAGACTTAGCCTGAGAGTAAACCTGCCCCAGACCAGGCTAGTTTCCCAGCATAATTATCCAGAGTAACTGAGTTTGAACTATCGTAATTTTGATTTATGAAACGGAATCCGCCATTAATAAACCTGACTACATCAAACCTGGCTTTTACTCTAAGCTAGGTTTATGGAACAGACCCCAGGACTGAGTGTTTGTTTGCAGTCATCACATATTAGTTTTGTTTTCTGTTTGTTTTTGCCTGCCATGTTCCTGATTTCAGCTTTGTTATTGTTGTTATATTCTGAGTGCTGCCTAGTTTTTGACCTTATGCCCGTTTTCGACTGTTTTAGATGCACTTTATGTGCCTGTTTGCCCCTGTTTTGACCATTGCCTGCTTACACGAATTCTCTAATTAAATTGCACTTGAATCCTTACCTCTGTTGTCCCTCATCTCACGCACGTGACAATCAGACCTTACAACAACTATTAATAGAGGTGTGAACCTATACTGGTCTCACGGTTCGGTTCGGTTACGATTATCATGCCTTTGATTCGGTTCAATTTGATATCTCGGTGCAGCACGGTGCATTGACCATGCTTTCTATATACAGTGGTATATTTTAGGGGGGAGGCTATAACAAGCTGTTTGTATAAACACACAGACACACAGCACCACACTGTCGCTCATTCAAACACATACACAAACATAGACAGCACCAAACACACACACACGCACTGAAGCCCTCGCAACAGGGAGAGCTCGCGCTGAGCAAGCAGAAAAACTAAAAAAAACGTAAAAAAGAAGCACTTTTCTGACGGTCCCTTACTGAGAGCTTCTCTCAGCGTGAGGTCTCCCGGCTAAACACATATTGCGAGGGCTTAAACGGAGCAGTGCTTGTAATGTCGAGCGAAAAAAACATAACCAGCTTTGTCTTTCTGTAAGAAACACACTTTAGATCTTTTTAGGGTAAGAGGTTTTTGAGTTATTGCTGTCTATAATGTGTGTCAGGAATATCGAAAACAAAACCAACTGAACCGCGCTCATTTCAGGCGCCCCCCTGGATATACAGCGCCCGTAGCATTTGCCTATGGTGCCTTTACCACGGACCGGCCCTGAGTTGGCTGAGTGTTGTAAATACTCGCGCTCACCTCCCTCGCGACAGAGCGCATAGGAGATAAATGACGTCACTACATAATAACCGGTTATGATTATTACTGAACCGATAACTTATTGTCCGCGTCTGCATCGCGGTGCACCAAAGAAACAATTAATTTTGACACTCCTTACTATTAACATTTTTCATTTTTTTTAACTCATTCCTTAGTAACCCTCAAGTAAATCTATAGCTACTGAGTGTGAATATTGTTACGTCCCTGATGGTAAGTGTCTAGGAGTGGGAGTAACAGTGAAAAGTTTTAAAAATGTTGGTTGGGGTGAGTGTGGGTCAGTCCCCTGCCTTCATGACAACACACCAAATTCAAGTTAAATAATTTATTAACAAATGTACAACAGTAAAACAAAACTGGGAAGCAAAAATAGACTTCAGGAGGGGGAAAGGCCAAAACAACAAACAAAAATACACTAGCTAGTTAGGGAGTAAAACTGTCCAAACTGAAAGTAAAATTAAATCAACAATAGAAATGTACACTAACTCCCTAACTAAACATACACAAGAGAAAAAGGGTTTTAGAAATAAAATGGCACCCACCTACCTACGGCTTCCAAACACAAAGTTAAGCTGCGTCCCAAATGGCACACTATACACTATGCACTCATGCACTATGTACTTATGCACTTACACACTCAACAGGATAGTATATGTATGTAGTGCTGTCCCAAATGGCACACTAATGTTTTTTTACTAAGCGGAAATTCAAACCGTTTCCCTGATGACGTTTGACTGTTGCCAAATCAGTGAAATAAACGACTGAATTATTAAGTAATACCTGCCGTGAGTATTGCCGCATTTACCATCCGGAGGCGCTATAATCACTCTCGTAGGAGAAATTTGCTTTCACTATCCAAAATAAATAAAGTTATTCAACATGTGCGTCCGATCGCTCCGCCCCTTCCGCTACGTAAGCAAACCTGCGGTCGTGGAGTGCGTGAAGTGTTCATCATTACACACTTCATTTTAGTGGCTGAATGAGTGCATCATCCGGGTAATTAAAGTGCACTTATTATTTTGAGAGTTTTCAATGTGAACACACTACTTACACTATTTATACTACAAAATGGCGTAAAATAGTGCATAAGTATGCGATTTGGGACGCAGCTTTAGTTTTCCAAAACAGAGCTCAAATGGCTTCCGAGGCTTTAACAACAGATTTTAACTTCAACAAGTTAAACACAACAGCACCAATAATCTTTCTCAATAGAGCAACCAGGCAGGAGAGAGACCACACTCTGGAAGCAAGCTTCAATGTGGCTTGCAACTGGCAGGCTTTTAAGCTTGCCGGGCAACGAGTAACAGGTGCAATCAATCAACTTCCTCTCCTCCACACCTAGCTGAGAAACAGGTTGCAGGAACAGAGAGGGAGAGAGAGAAACCAAACACAATAATACATTCAAAACACCATGGAATGTAACAATATGTATGTGCATGTAAGTATGTTTGTGTCTGTGTATGTATATATATATATATATATATATATATATATATATATATATATATATGAGTGTGTGTGTGTTATTTGACCAGGCTGATGGGCTTATAGATGATTTTAGACATTAGTCTCGTCATTATTTGGGTCATATCTGTACTATTTCATATTTAATGTTGAATATTTAGTAGGATAAATATCTGCCTTTATCTTTTGCTTGCATCAGAATTAAAGCTGATGTTTTGATGTTAGCAGAAGCTGTTTTGGTGTTTTAAGAGAGGTGTGTGTGTGTGTGGTTTATTTTGATGTCTGTGTTGTGGAAGGGAAGGTGCGGAAACGTTTCTCATAAAAAGCTGTCAGACATTAAACTAAGCGAGTCGACGTGAAGCAATAAACAGCGCTTGGCATCATAAAGCATGAGCAGTTGTCAAGGTTAGAGTTTGTGTGTG